GCAGCAGCAGCAGCAGCAGCAGCGCAGTGACAGCAGCCGCCTGCGCCCGGCTGCAGCCAGCTCCGGCGCCCCCGGTGAGTGCGGCGGGCGGCAGCGCTCCCGGAGGCGCGGCAAGAGCCAGGCCCCCGGCTGGGTTGGGTGGAGATGCGGCGGTGGAGGGCCCGGGAGCCGGAGGCGGGAAGGGGTGGGATGTCTTGTCCTGTGCGCTTTGTCCCCTGACGGCGGGGTGGGACCCGCGGTTCTCACCTGGGCCCGCGAGGTCCTCTCCAGAGTCATTAAACCCCATTCCCCAGATGAACCCAGAGGTTTCATATAGGGATCCACAAAGTCACCCAGACGGCTGCAGGCTTTCCCGGGGGGCTGCGACCAAAGAATTGCCCTGTTATTTTTCCTCACTCAAAAAACCCCCATAATCGAGTGGAAAGTAAGAGGGTGCTGGAGAGCCAGCCCCTGCCCTAGACTGGTTGGATGAGACCCTCCTGCCTCCAGCCCCTTTCCTCCCTCACAAAGTTCCTTTAACTGGTGAAGGTGTGCATGTATGCTGCACCTTTTCTAAGATCATTTGTTAGGTTGGATCTGTTTCATTAATTTACCTGCAGTTGGGCATCCTTGTCCTGTGAAGTCAATTTTATCCTGTAGCATTCAGATGATACAACTGATGAATTTTAGAAAAACATAATTACAGAAGGAGCCTTTCTTATCAGAGGTATCTCTCACAGAAACAAATGTTTCTGGCATAAACACTCCATGGAGCTCTCTAACTGCCCATTTCGGGTTTGTTTTGTTTCTTTTTCGGGTCATTTGACCCAGGAAGACCTGTACAGTGCTATTCTGTAGACTATACAGTACTATCAGAAGATGATGCTGCACAAGTGAATTGTTGGGTTGCTCTTTTTTCCTCCCTCCCTGGACTGTGGCTCCGTTGAACGACTGTAGTTATTCCACAACAGAAGGAGCTTTGTTTGTGGACAAATACAAAATAATATGGTTACATAAAATGCTTAGTTTGGTGTGAACAAAGAAAGGCAAATATTTAGTGTGTGGTAACGTGCCTATGCCCTGTTCCATTGGATTTTTCACAGTTGTCGTTTAGCAAAAGAAAATAGTCAAAGTTCGAAATATAATTCTTGTGTTCCTGCAAAGTTGTTTGTGGTGCAGGAAATTAGTGTCTTGTTTATATGACTGCCCTTCATTCTGGCCTTCATGCCATGCCCACTGAAGCTAACTGAAAGACTTCACCGGGCTTTGGATCAGGCTTCTTGCAGATTAAGTCTGGGATTTGTTCCATGGATAGTCAGTTCATTCCTTCAGTTCTGTTGTTGGGAGTTATGCACATAAAGCTCTCAGATGATGAAACAATGGCCCACTTCGTTTTCAGTCCAGGCTCTTCTTAAAAGGGTAGGATATATGTAGTCATAGGTTTGCTTTGAACGTTTTTTTTTTTTTTTGCAATAAAAATTGGTGGAGGCTCTGCAATACCTTTTGGAGTGCTTAAGAAAGACATCCTGAATTTCATGCAGCCAAACAAGTTTTGGATGCCTGTGTGCCATGATTATGTTAAAGAAACTGTTCTTTAATAAGAATATGTAGGGCTTTTAAATACAAGTATTTTGCCTAAATATACTTCGGTTTTATTGAAACTGGCAGAAAGTTACCACTTTTCCCTACCTAGGTCTAACAATGCTTTTGATTGGAATTGTTTATCACTGAACCAGTCTAACCATAAAAGGCAAAACAATATGATTTTATATTGGTTACAGTTTTGAAATGTGTAGTCAGCTTCTGCATTGAAGGTTGAGATCTATGACGTTATGCATACATGTATCTCTTCTACAGGCAAACAGCTGCACTGGAGTATTCAACGATGGATAAAGACTTCCGTTACTACTTCCAGCATCCGTGGTCTCGCTTAGTTGTGGCTTACCTGGTGATCTTCTTTAACTTTTTAATATTTGCTGAAGATCCAGTATCTCACAGTCAAACGGAAGCCAATGTTATTGTTGTTGGAAACTGCTTTTCATTTGTATCAAATAAATACCCTGAAGGAGGTGGCTGGAGATTCTTAAAAGTATTTCTATGGCTACTTGCCATTCTCACGGGACTGATAGCTGGGAAATTCTTGTTCCATCAGCGTTTATTTGGTAAGTTTTCTAATTCACTAGATGACTTACTGTTAATGCTAGCACCTTATGGCTGTTTCTTTTACAAATTTTTAACTCTTGCAATAAAAACTGTCTATAATAACAATAATGCCATACAGAATGAAAGAAGTCATATCACAGATTACCTCTATATGGAAATTAATGTCTGCTTATGCTAGGGCCTTGCTAAGGCCTCAAACTTAACATGATGTAAAAAGGGATTGGATATTTATATGGGTATCAAGATTATCCTGAGCTCTCATAATGAATAACTCCAAATTTTGGAAGGGATATTCAGCTTTGTGTCAGGGCTTAAACCGCATTTGAAGTATTAGAAACAAGGTTGAGCCTTGCCTAGGGTGGGATGTCGGGAGACAGGTTAATCCACCTGTGCCTGCCACAGAGTTCTTACACCTTCCCTGGAGCACATGGTGTTGGCCACTCTTCGAGACAGGATGCAGGACAAACTGGACCTAATTGAGTGATGCAATGGTAATTCCCCTGTTCCATGTTAATGGAACTATAGTGGGGATTGTTAGAAAACCACCTTCCCATAAAGTGACTGATTAATCATTTTCTTGCCTCTTTCATATTAATTTGGGTTAACCTGTATTAAGAGAAAAAGAAGATAAGCGTCAGATGGCTTTTTAATCTGGAAAATGTAAAGACATTCGTCTAGGAACAGAGAATGTGGTCCATAATTATAGTACTGTGGATTCTGTCCTGAATAACAGTGTGTCTGAAAAAAAGCTTTGAGGTCATGGTGGATGATCAGCTGAGCATGAGATCAGATTTTGATGCTGTGGCCTAAAGGGCTTAAGCAGTCGGTTCCTTAAACAGCAGAATCTTGAGTAGGGGTAGAGAGGTTATATTACCTCTGTGCTGAGCACTGGTCAGACTACTGAGGGAATACAGTTTTCAGTTCTGCTATCCCCAGTTAAATAAAAGAAGTTGGAGAATTGGAGACAGGTCAAGGAAGAGCTGTAAGAATGATTAAAAGGCTGGAGAATATACCTTATTGTGGGAGGCTCAAAGAACTCTGTCTGTTTTGCTTTTCGAAGTGAAGGTTAAGAGGTTACTTGATCATTCTGCAAGAAGTTGTGTGCGTGGAATGGAAATAATTTGATAATGGCTTTTCAAACTAGCAGACAAATATGTTGCAGTGCTGGGACATAGAATTTAACCATATTTAGTTTAAAATACTGTGCACATGTTTAACAAGAGAAGGTCATTAGCCATTGGGATAACCTGTTAAGTGGTGCACTGCATTCTCCATCTCTGGCAATTTTTAATTTAAGATAGATCATTATTCTAAAATATGTTCTTGTCCTGACAAAAATTAATTCAAGGAAGTCTTATGGTCAGACTTACACAGGAGGTCCCTTCACCCTTATAACCTATGAATCACTGTTCAGTAAACACAGTATCTAAATATAGACTATTTGCAAAGACTGATCTGTGCATCCGTGTGTAAATGGTGTATTGTGTATTTTATACAGCAGTACTGTAGTGTGATCAGTGAGAAGGCGAACTCCAAAGATTATGTCTATGCAGCATAGAAAAGTTTGATTGTTTGGATGGTCTGCATACCTGAGATAGCTTTAATCTAGCTAGCATGGCTGACAGCAATAGTGAAAACAAGTTGGCATGGATTTCAATACAGGTAAGCAACCCAAGTATATACACAGGATCCCCAAAGGGCTTGTCCTGTCCACATTGAAACCTGTGTGTTGCCTGGTCTTTACTAATCTTGTAATTCATGCTGGCAACATTAAAATTAGAGTGGATATACCTGCTTATACTACAGATGCACTTTTATTTTGCAGTGTATATATATCCTAAGTAAGCAGCAGAACTGGAGAATGATCTGCTACTCAGTTCTTCGCTTTATTAAGTTCTTCTTTCAATACCTCCTGGTGTTGCAGTTTCAAGAGCTGATTTTAGTTTACTGTAAGTTACAAGTAGGATGCATTATAGCCTGTCACTCTTCATTTCATTTTTTCTTTGTCTGTTGTCTCTCATTTCTATTATCATTCTATCCTCCTTTCTTTTTTTATTCTCGGTTTCACGGGGGGTGGGGTTTCCTGCTGTTTACCGTATTCCTGCTTTTCTGCCTAGTTCCATTTCCTAGAGAACTGGAGTTAGTTACTCCCTGCAGCCTGTTCCTAGCTTTCTGCAGAAGGAAAACTAGGCAACACAAGTTAATTTCACAGTATAAAATCTCAGCTCAAAATCAGGCTGCAAAGCGAAATTGAGAGAGTTTAGTCAGTTTCTGTATGCAGTTCAGTTCAGTTTAGATGAAAGGGATTGAAAAAGATTTTCTTTCCTTTTTTCCTCTGTTCCTCCCATATCCTCTGCTGGTGAATTTGCCCATTGTTTGTGATGGGAGAGTTAGAATAAGTGAATCCTGGTATGTGCCCCAATTTGACATCTGGTTGTTAAACAATTACTGTTACCTTGAGTTCTAGAAGTAAGAGACTAGGTTGAAACATGCTAGACTGCTGCATAAAGAGTGTGTGACAGGCCTGGGAGCCAACTCTAGACTATATTTTCCTGAATTAATGGAGAAATAAGGGCATGGTGTTTTCCCCATTCAATGTATTATTATTAAAGTCTGTGAAAGTACTAGCAAGTTCATATCTTGACTGTAATAGTTTCCTTTGAAACACTGTATTTTGTTTCTTAGTAATAGACAGTGAAGCCATTGAGCATAGTAAGTTCTGTAAGGTCTTTCTTATATCTTCTGCTGACTTCAAAGGAAAGCATATGATAACCTGTATAAGGAGTACAAATTACCACTCCTACCACCTTCAGTGAAATGGATACTTGTATATTTATAAAAATAGTCTCCAATGGGTAGAGGCATTATCTAGGAGTTCTTATCTTTACTGAGTTCAGTAAGAATAAATGGAATTTCAGAAGTGCCTTTTGGCTGTTCACCATTATGTTCTTCATGAATAATCTCTGAGTACCTTTTATATTTGGTTAATTCTAGCATTCTTTTATGCTTTTAATTCTACGTTTGATATTGTAAGTTCGTAGATGAATAAGAAAATACAGAAGAGGGAAAAACAGAGAGATGTACTTGTCATTCTTTGTTGCATTTTAAAAGATAATTACTCTAGACTTGTGGGGAGGGAAATAGAATTTGATGAAAGAAAAAATAACTTACAAAATGACCCCTATTAAATGAAACCGTACATCTGAAAATCACGCTCAAAGTTCTAAATGCTGACTCAGAAGTAATCCTGAATCAGCTCTTGTGCATGTACCACATTGCTTTGGGGTATCATCTGAAAAAATTCACGGCAGTCAGTGAAGTGGAAAATTTACCTCTTATTCAAATTGGGTTCCACACATTATCAGCTCACATCCCTGCATTTTTGTATCTTATAGGCTCCATTTTTAAAACTTAACTCAGGCCAAAATCCTTTTGATTTCAGCCATTGATTGGGCCTAAAATGTAGTGTTTGGTATAATGTGTGGTAGAACAACCTTATGTAAATGAGAACCAACATAAGCATTTAGATGCTTCTTCCATTTTAGTAGTTTCTACCAGTTTAAGAAAGAGCCCCTGTACTTAAAATGACAAATATTTCTTAAAAACATAATACCCAAAAAGTGGAAAATATATTTTGGCTGGGGTTCTTGGTTATAATTCTCACTTCATGCATACTCGTTAAATACATCAGCATTTGAAAAAGCAGTGGTTCTCAATGTTTTTTAAAATCAAAGCACCTGTTATTAGATTCAAGACACCCCTCAAAATGCCAGCTCTTAGTTTTCACTCATTTTTGACTATGGAAAAATAATAGAACTCAGAAGGAACTGCAAAGAACTCACAATGTTTTTAATGCTATAGATTCCTCTTTGATCATGTTTGCACATGTACAAGTGCTAACATTATGTGGCGCCATGTGGCACCCTTGAAATGATCTCAAGGCAACCCAGGGTGCCTAGACACCTTGGTTGAGAATCACTGGTTTAAAGATATACTCCTAAGATAACACACTTACCCACACGTACCACATGCATTTTTTGTAGTTAGTCATCCAAAACGATAGAAGATGAAAAGATTGAATAAAATTTGGTTATTATGGCTTAACGGCTAACAAATATGCCTAAGTTTTTACAGCTTTTAGTTACTCTCTGTGTCCATTGTTTTTGGAAAGGAATTATTGAATATCTTAGTGGTAAATTGTTGTCATATACATGACTTTATAAGTAACTTGGGTCAGGTATTTCTGTTTAAAATGGGAGACACAGTTAGTGGAGACAAACAAATACTGAGGTTTTATTGAATCTGCAATATGGAGGCCTAAAATATACAGTTTTTTAGGTTTAACTTAAGTCTGTGACCACTGGAACAAATACCAAATCAAACTGAATCAAGATTTTTCTGTTGAAATTGCATTATTTTGTGGTCCTAGAAGGACAGTTACAGTTTTAAAAGGCACAGAAGTATGTTTAAGACTGATTGCCTACTTGTTTTGTTGCCTGGGAAGACCTGACTTTTTAAAGTGTCTTTATTTCAAATTATCTTAAAGTATTGTACAAAATGTATAATCTGATACTTTAACCACCCACTGAAATGTACCTGTCCCTGGGTGAAAGGGAATATCTTTTAAAGTATAATGTTAGAGTGCATAATAATTGAGGGAGTGAACTGAAGAATATTATATGCAGAGGGCTGTTATGCAGAAGAGAATTTAGCCAGGACAGCAAGGTACTAAGTACAGAAAATGTAGCTAAATACAAAGAGAACTGATATTGGAATAAGCAGTGAATTTACTTGTTCCTGATTAATGAATATTTTGAAATAACTAGATGCATCTTGTTATAAAAGTTGATAGACAAAACATGTTAACATATAGTACAAGGCCATTTATCACTAAGTGGGAAGCAATGCCATCACGGTATTGTATTTTATTTGCATTGATGCCCCTGTCAAATATGAACTGTGGTAATGAATAGGTGAAAGTTCTTCTCTTTAGTAACTC